TGGATTTTTGCTTGTACGGATTTCGTGACAATGGAACTAATGGGTTTTTGCTTGTCACGGATTTCGTGAAATGGAACTAATGGGTTTTTGTCAAACAATTTAGTCGGACAATTGAGCATTAATGGTCACTTGGTCAGAAATTTTTTTTATGTCCGACTGTAATTTCAGGATCTGCAACTACATGTACACATGTACATCAATCAAAAAATCATTGTAATTATTAATAATAATAATAATTATTATTAATTTAGGACTGGTATGCTGGGATACGGTAATGTTCCTTATGACAAAATCTCAATGATTGTCATATCCACCATTGCCGTTGGTCTAGGGATACCACTTCTCCTCATCATATTCGGGTCCATTTATGTTGCCTTCAAGAAGAAAGTGTGGCAGAAATGCAGCAAAACAGGCTACACCAAGATGACCAACGAGAAGGAAGATGAAGACGAAATTAAAGCAAATGGCGGTGATAAAATTAATAAAGAATAACTAATTTTATGAATACGAATGTGATTGGAATTAATTTCCATTTTAAAAGCATTGAGGTTATTATTATTTTGATTATAATAGCATTATGCTTGTATTGTATAACGAATAATTATTATTGCTATTAATTATTATTTCTCTTTACTAATAAATAGTTTTATAAATAAAATAAAAAGACGAATAAAAACGTGCAACCAGTGTTTGTATTAACATGATTAATTATGGTATGACAATGATTCCAGTATCTTATCTCATACCCTTACATTCATTCTCAGTTGGTATGGGTATCAGTTTAAGTCTGTAGTAGTGCTGATTCCAGTGCTGTCAGCGTTGGTCCAGATCAGTTGAGTTGATTTGAATTCATTTGATAATGTCCATTGAAAGATAAGAGCATTGAAAAAGAAAACCCTGGGAAAGAAATATTAACAGTTACATGTATACTTTTAAATGTAGAATAAATCCTTTAAAAATTACTGCATAGCACAAAATTTTCAAGGGCCCTAAATTTGCAATTTTTGAAGATTCGTAAAAATTACTTCTACAAATCAAACTATTATGGTACAAGATGGCAGATGGCATAAATTTGCAAAAATTAAATCCATGAAATAGATTTTTAGGCAAATTTGCGAAATTTACAGCCCCTTAAAAATTTTGTGCTATACGGTATTTATTCTGATAGCTACAGTGGATACTTACCATTCTAATATAGCAATACTCACTCTTAATCTATCAAAATCATAATCTATAGGAGGTAAGAGTATCATTTTTAG